ATTCTTATCAATAAATTACGCATTTCCATCGACTGCCTTATAAGAAATTCATAAGATTCTTATAAGATTCTTGCAGATATTCTATAAGAGTCCTATAGGAATCTTATATAAGATTTGATCTCTAGGGTCAGAAGTAGTAAACTCTTATAAGATCTTGTGACAAGAAAATGACCGATGTTGTAAAATCTTGTTAGTGAAAGTGTTACACTCTTTATCCCAAGATTATACAAGAGCTGTTGCTTTTTTGTCACAAGATATTGGAAGAAGTAGTGATTCATTCTTATCACATAAAGGATACCGCCGGTTTTTAAAATATGATTTAATCTACACGATAATAATAGATGATTATAGAGTTTTAGAAGACGCACATTTCTCAATATTTTTTAAGTCTTGCATTTGTACGGTTTCTAGGAAAACAAAACAAAGTTTGATTGATAGGTACCTATGCGATACCTGCGGAATAAAACATTATTTTTTCAATAACCTTCCACTATTTTGAAAAATTGCTTCTCGCCTTTAGATAGGCGAGATTGTCGTGCATCTACACCTATCATCGGTACGTTGTGGAACGAAGAGAAGTAAAAACAATGGTCGAAAGATAAAAGAAATTCTTGATTTTACACTTTTGACACAGCAGTTTTCATACTGCGTGAGTAAAACCGTTCTATGCAAAAAACGATCAAAGACTTAAACTTTATTTTAGTCTCATTTTGTGCAGAATTCAATTCTCTCTCTTGTACGGGAAAAAAGGTTGATGTGGATTGCGAATGCGGGAGCGTACAACATTGAGAAAAATAGATCTTCAGCACAGAGGTAGTCCGCTTATTTCTATACCTCTTCAATGGAAGATGGAGGTAGATTTGGAATCAGCAGACAAAACTGAATCAAATCATGTGCCGCTCAAATGTTTTTAAGACAAAAATTTTTTCGATGAATTTTTGGCTGGGGTCCTCTAAATGCAAATAATGGAGGGTTATTGAAAAAATAATGTTTTATTGCACAGGTATCGCATAGGTACCTATCAATCAAACTTTGTTTTCCTAGAAACTGTACAAAGGCAAGACTTAAAAAATATAGAGAAATGTGCGCCTTCTAAAATTCTATAATCATCTATTATTATCGTGTTGATTAAATTATATTTCAAAAACCGGCGGTATCCTTTTACTGCGATATATAGTAAATGGTCTTTCTTTGACTTTACACATCAGCTGAACGCAAATAAACTGCACGGCTGACGAACGTGATCAAACGCGATCCCAGCACTTGTATGAAAGAAATATTATGAAAAGAAAGCGTTTTTCTTGACGAGGCTCTATGTAGCACCGAATTCGACAAATAATCTTTTAAGATCTAATGCATTTTTGTTTGGTCTTATGAAATCGTTTAAGGTCTTGTCCCTTCTTACACGATCATACAGCATCTTATTACAAGATCTTGTGAAATCTTGTATGGGATCAGGAGACTGACTTCATACAAGATCTCACAAGATTTTGTGTGTTTGCACAAGGTCTTGTACGATCATATGAAATCTTGAGATATGATCTTATTTAATGACTGAAATGATGTTGGATGCAAATATTGTGCAAGAATTTTGCCATGGGGATTATAGTGCTCAATGAGAATTGAATTATAAATAAGAAAAATCATCCTTTGCTCAACTGGAGTTTAGTAGTATTTTTTATTATTTCGTTGATTTTTCTTCATATCTACTACGCTCTCGGCATTCATTCACTCTGTCACGTTGTATGTCCGCAGTTTGAATTCGTTTTCTCTGTACAAGAGATGAGGATATTAAAAAAATGGCTACAATACTGAGCGAGGCATTATCGACAGACGAATGAACATTTCATCGAACACTTTTAATTTTAGATGTCGCACTCGCAATTAAGACAACGCCTACGCGTACCACCTGAATCTGAACTTGAAACAGTCAGTCATTCTGTAGCCTATGAACAAAATGGAAAGAAATATTTACAATGGTCATTAATTCCACTCAAACAATGTATTTTTAAAAATTTACAAGATATAATAGGGCTACTTTTTATAACTTGCACAGTACCATTTATATTTATATGTGATCGTCTATTATCTAAGACAAATACAATCTCATCGAATACAAAAGACATTGATGAGAATATTCATTTGTATTGCTACGTATTTCTTGGGTTAATCCAATTAATAAATGTTTGGTTGACACAAAAAGCGAGTCCGGCACCTCTAGGGATTTACCATTGCTCACGTTATCCCTTATTTATTATTTAATATCGCTTTTTGTCGTATCAAAACCAGTCGTAATCCTATTATCATTATCCTCTTTTACTGTCACCGCATTTGCTTGGTTTTATATACTGAAAAAAGTTAGTGAACTTTTCTTGTAATGTGTTGTCTTTCTGTTTAACTGTTTTATTACGTGCTTTAGAAACACCCAGCAGTCTGTGAGCAGTACGACACACAGCAAATCCATCGTCGGACATCACCACCAAATGTGTAATTTAAAGCAAAAGTACTCTTTATAATAATTTATAAATGTTTATTTAATATTTAGAGTACGATTGTGTTCTACTGATAATGAAGAATATTATACTTCGAATATAAGTTGTGGAATGGCAATTATTATCAATATTAATAACTTTTGATTTAAACTTTATTATAGAAGAAACAGTAATCAAATCGGGCTGTGCCCATTGCATGACACTGGGAGAGAGGAAGAGGACGAACGAAAGTACAAAATAAAAAAAACAAAAAAGAAACTAGACAAATAAAAAAGAACAAAAACAAGTGGCGAAGTTTACTAGATGAAAACAGTATAGAAACAATATAGATTTCAGAGATGAGAAGCTGATGAGGATGATTTTCTGTGGCGACTGTGAGTGAGGTATGAAGAATTTTAACGTAAGAGAAGAAACATCAATTATGCCCCAAAGCGATTAGACTCTCTAATGAAATCAACGATAGCCTTATAAGTACTTTTACTTTTTTCAAGTTCATTAATAACTTTTATGTTGGTCAAGGTAATACTCATGAATATTTGACTACTTTTTCTGCTTTACATGTCTATTCTTCTTACAGACAACTTTTCAGTTCAAGCTGACATCAAATTAGATGGAATTTATTTACAAGAAACATTATTAGATTTAGGTTTTAAGGTGCAGATATATGAAGACTTAACAGCAGTACAAATTGTGACCTGTTTGGAAGATGGTAAATGCCTTATATATTCTTCCATATTTATGATTATTTTTGTCCATCTCCACAGCTCTTACCACTGATCATTCAAATTCTGATTGTTTGGTGATTATTCTTTTATCATGTGGTAATGATAAAGAACTCGTTTACGCTAGTGATCATGCTATGTCAATTGGTTTTTTGACGTCACAATTTAAACTAGCATCAACGACATTGAGTGGGAAACCGAAAATATTTATTTTACCAGTATGCTGCACCAGATCTCTTTTATTTTTTATCTAATAGGAATTTTTCATTCAAAGATACTTCGTAGTCAACATCTTACAGAATTAATGAACAAACAAATAGCATTTGTTGACGATAATGAAACACCCATAGTAGATGATTTTCTTATGGTTTATTCAACTCTGCGGGGTGAGTAGTACGAGCAGAAACTCATCGGATCAGCTACTGGTTGTTGTTTTTCTTTCACATTATTATAGATCGGAAAATTTGAAAGGTACGCTGTTTGTTCGAACATTGTGTGATACGCTCAAAAAGGATTCCAGTAAAATGGACTTAATTCGAATTTTAACAAAAGTCAACCGACTTATCGTCACTTATTATGACTTAAATGTTAATGATTTAGTAATGTCAGATCGAAGAACACTACCAAGAATTATATCAACGTTAACAAAAGATATGTGGTTCAAAAGATGATTATGGAATTAAAATTTATGAATTAGTTATTGATCAGTCTCTCCTTATTAGAGTTTTAATTTCTATGTTAACTGGTATTATATCAGCAATTACATTATTTGCAAAAACTCGATGAATGAAAGTGTTTACAAAAAACGCTTTTTCAACTTCGATTTTTTAACTTCGAAACAGTGACTCATATTGATAAAATAAAAGTTTCTCATAAACGACAACAAATGCTTTTGTTGTTAAATTTTTATACAAATTCTTGGGTTTTATACTTTCTTTAGCCAAATAATTAAACGTCGCTTACTATCGGTTAGATTTTATAACACACTAATGTTTCAAGATATAATAATATTAATTAAAACAGAATATAGAGTAAGTTCATAGCGAGTGCAGTGAACATTTGAATGAAAATATAAAATTCGTTCTTTTCTCACTTTCTTGCATTGTGTGTGTTAATGCTTTATTTAAATTCTCCCGAGCAACTTTTAAGCAAAGTTCGCTTCTAGAGAGCCACAAAAAAAAACCTCCGGAGGACAGCACAGGTGTTGGAGCTTCAACCATAGTTGTGCCTTGTACCATAGCTGATTAAAATCAACAAATAACGCTGCTGCCGCTGTGTCTGTTTTTAAACTTTGATCAATTTGGTCGATTACGGAGACGAGGCGAACTGTGATATTGTGACCTGGTCTAAAATCGTTTTTTTCATCCGGGAGAATCTCATTTATTCACCGACGGAAGTGAACGAGAAAACATTTTTCGAACACTTTAGAAAAACACGATAACATAGCAATAAGACGGGTTTCATCAACCGATACAGTGTTTGTTTTCGTTTTAACAATAAAATGATTTATGCTGTATGCCAATGAGAAGGAACACAGTTTAGTAACAAAAACGTTAAAATACGTTCGAAGAATTAGGTGCTGACCCTCAAGTAAGAGTTTTATAACGCGATTTGAAACACCATCTAACACGCAAGAATTTTTGTTTTCGAAGAAGAAAGCAAATTTTGTAAATCCTTTCAAGAGATAATAAATGGTGTTAGAGGACTGTTATTTAAAAGGTAGAAAATCTCTTTATCGACCTGGTCAATTTCTAGTTCGATAGGAGGGGTTGAAAACAAAATGGATATGCACAAAACTGTTCTACATAAAACTGTTTCGCATGATCACACATTTCACTAGGATCCGAAATTACCTTTCCGTTTGATAAAAGACCTTGAACAGGAAGAGTGCGCGAACCGAAATGACATTTTACTTTATGTCAGAAGGAAAATACATCATAATCACTTGGCGTTTTACAATATACTTTCCAAGAGTTTCTTATATAGGCAAACACTTCACATTAGATTATCTTGTTGAAGGTTTGTAAAGCATTTATAAAATAAGAACGACGAGTTTTTCTTAAGGATGCACTAAACCGGAACGTTTGGGTTCAGTGGGCTTGGATTCGGTTCGGGTTTGGGTTCAAGATTTAGATTGAGTTCGAAAGTTCGAGTCCGGGCCTGGATCTCCTAGTAAACTAAAACGTACTATTGTTTAAGATTGAACATTCAACTCTTACATATACCGCCTCTAAATTTCCATAAGCTGGAAAAATATTTCTCTCTTTCGTCAAACAATGAAAATTCTCAGAATGATCAAATATGGTTTTCTATTTCTCTCTTTTATGTCTAAAGCACAAAAAGGAGAGAAAATAAGAATGTACAATGTAAAAGGAGTCTACCATTGCTTGTTTGCTACGATTCTAGATGAAGAAATATCATGATACAGTAAAGAACACAAGTTTTAACTTGTGTTCTTTATATTATCTATCTATTATAATATTTCTCTAGAACTTAAGCTTCCATCACTAATTTGCCTCTAAATTAGATAAAAATGAAGAATTTCACTTGTTTTTCCATAAGATCTCATATTTCACTATTAAAATTCAACAGAAGTACTAGCTCATAATACATAGATGTAATGATCTCACTATCAGCTACACGCTCATGTGTTCACCGACTCTTCAGACCCCTCCCTTTTAGAGTTATGCTGCAAATAACATCGAAAAAGTGAAAAAAAAAGCCCCAATCTTTCACTTGTTTCGATTTTTTTTACAAAGATATCAAACCAATGACTTCCAATCAAACAGAATCTTGTGCAGAATAGTCAATTCTATCGGAAAATGTGATTTAACAATTAAAAAAACCACTTCTAGAAAAAAAACTTTTTAATATGATTAAGTCATGATATTCGAAAATATCACTCTCAAATTTTGTAAAACGTCTCACTAATTTTGCCAAAAGTGGGATGAAAAGCCATGTATCACAGATTGTAGAGCGCAAGTTCTACTATTAGGATCTGTGTTTAGTTTGGTTAGCGCTGTTACTTTGTGTGGGAAAATTTTGACATCATGGTGTAAAAGTGGTGCAAAAGTACACAATTGAGCAAGTAATTCTCCTTTTGCGTAGTCAATAAATAGCTCAAAATTGATCACAGATTCAGAATCTACGTCGAAATCTACGTATATAGAGTTAGTCTCGCATTTACCTATGTGTACAATAGTCTAGCAACAGATATACGAAACATAAGAATATATTTATATATCAAATTTTTTTTCTTTATTTTTATCGTTCTGTAGATACATCTTTCACTTTTCAAAATTCAAATCGTGTGTTTAACATAAATCATTTATAATTTGAGCTGAAATTTAAACAAAAATGACGACAGGTCAAGATTCGGAATTTCAAAACTGTACCTTTTATGATTATTTACACGATTGTGGACCAAGCATAAAGGCAAAAAGTTCAGACGTGTTTTCAATTGATCAGTTGAAATCAAATGTAACAGTAGGACTAGATTATGTCTCAGAACTGGACTTAATTGTTTCACGCTGTGGCTTATCAAATATGGAAGTAACAGATATTCGAGAAATCTGTGCAAAACATCGATACAAATTCGGAATTTATTATCAACCATCTCGTTTTTATCAGCATCCCAACTGCACTAATAAATCTGCTTCTTCAGAATCAACTTCTTTGAATCTGTCACGTTATATTTCTTTTCTTGCTTATGAATTTCTTTAACGTAAAGTTTTCAAGAGAGTGAATTGTAAAATCGGAATAATTTTATAATTCATATTAAATAATTCCCGTTTTCGATTTTAGAGATGTGCTCACACTTAATAATTAAGGATTCTCTAGAAAAGAAATATTCTGGGATATTTTAGAATTTATACAATCAAAATTATAAAGCCAAGTTCGATTTTACAAATATTCAAAAATTAGGTTTTATGAGAAAATATTAAATCAAAACTCGATTTTACAGTTTATGATAGAATCACCTCTGATATAACATAATATCGAAACATTCTAAACGTTCTCTGAAAATCAACGAAAAAATGATTTTGAAAATTTTATGAAATCCTCAACTATTAAGTATACGCACAAATCAAAAATCCTCTTTTATTTTACATAAAATCCCTGCAATTTACAGTGTAGTAGAATTGATCAAATGTTATCTGGTATAACAAATCGTTCGATTTATTTTTGCCCAATGTATTCTATGATTATAAACATGATTACTCGAGTGTAAAAGCACTCCGTGTTAGTTGGTCATCTCCTCATGTAACATCGTTCGGAGATATTTCACAAATTCTAGCAAAAAACTTTTCAGATCTGTGCATGATAACAATCGGCGACCACTACTGAAATATTGAAAGAAGTACCATGTTTGCTATAAATTCAAATCTGAAGAATGTCAAACACTTAAAGATCAATCATAATATATCATATTTGGATCAACTTCTTTTATTAACCCTGGCACGACCACCTATAGGACTATCACTTGTTGCCTACCTGGGGTCCGTCCGGACTCCAAGTTGATAAAACAGGTTTAAAAATCACTGTTAAGACATGGAACATTTTTAATAACATATTCGAATTCAGCCTCGAATGATGAATATTTTCAAAAAAAAATCAAATCTCCAGGATAAAATTTGTATTTTGAAATTTAATTTGAAATTTGAAAATTTAACTATTTTGAAAAGTAAAATATCTCAACTCAGATAAGCGTTCCAGACTTCGAACAAACGTCATTCGATACACAAATAAAAATTGAACTCATGCAAGGATTTGCCAATGTTTCCGTGTCACGTGATCCTGGCTTTCTCTGGATTTTTCCTAAATCAGGGCGAAAAACTCAGGATCCCTGAAATTTTTGATAATTTCCATTAAGGCCCCCTCAAAAAAGTCGAATTTCGTCAAAAAAACGAAATTTTAGATAAGTGTATAAGTAAACGCTATCGAATGTGTTCATATGGTTTCTTGTAGAGTTTTTCACGGCGGATCTTCTGAAAAAAAATCAAAATTCTACCATTTGCCTGTGCAGAGATATTTGCAAAACTAAACAATGTTTTTTCGAAAAATTTCTACTTCAAAAACTTGTTTCGCGTTTTTCTCAGAACATAGTTTCGGCGAAGTATCTCCAACGCTACTGTCCCCCAGTACAATATGAAGCCAAATATTTTTTTTTGTTTGAAAGCTTGTCTCCAGGGCTAGCCGACCTCGTGGCTCTTTTTTCAAAATAAGCCTTTTATTATCATATAAGAGCACATCTCTCCGAAAAAGGTATATGTAATGAAGGGTCATGGAGATTTTTTGGAGATAAGATGACCTATTTTTGACCCGTGTTTTGCTCATATCTCTGTCAAATGTCAAGGTATCGAGCTGAAAATTTTACCACAGCCTTCGCACTTC